GTGAAAGGCGAAACCTAAGCTCAAAACAAACCAATTAAAGTAATGAAAGTGCAAAATCTAGAAAAACTAAATTTAGAAATTAATATAATCAGTAATGTTAGCTTTGCTTTACGGTATGAAGGGTTAATTTAGGTGGAGTATTTACTTAGAGTAAATACTTTAACATTTATAATATAAAGCATATGAATAACAGTGTACAGGTTCCCATATATTTTTAATCTTATACTAGATACACAATGGAGAATAACAAAAGAAAGATAGTAGTTTTTAGTTATAAAACATGTTAGGCAATTATAATTTTTTTTGGGCTTCGTTAATTTTGATTTCATTTTATTTACAGTAAAATCTTCAAAGTGTATAATATTAATTTTAATATAATTGGCAGGTATAGAGATCTATACTATTTGAGAAGAGTTTTACTATTTTCTGCATGTGTGATCTGGCATGCTACTGCATACTATGCAACTATCTGATTTATTATATCAAAGTAATATGAGATCATGAGATCTAAAATCTATAGTTTATTGTATTAAATTAACACTTACTGCAAAAAAATCTACTAAACTATATAAAGTTCATTGTAATCTTTAAAATTTTTAAATATTTTTATTTTTTTACAACTGTATTTTTATATATTAAAATGTTCTTTATATTATGTTCTAAAACATTATTACGTAGCTCATTAAAATGTTTTATCTATTTTAAAAAAAGAAGTTTGTTTTGTTAGTTTTTTTTTATTAAGCCAAATATATTCGACTATTTAATAATTATATATAGTTCTATAGTTATAATATATATAAAAATTTTATCTTCTAAGCAAAATACCCCTAGATTATAGATCTTCAAATACTATATAAACTATATATTTATTATATTTGTTTTTAGTATGCTAGTTTATAAATTATTTATATTAGCTCTAAAGCTAGCTTTAAGCCAGCTTAATAGCTCAGCTTGGTTTTTTTAAGCCAAGTCAAGCCAAGTAAGCCGTTCTTATTCCTATATCTATTATTGAAGCAAGGTAATAGTTTATTTGATATAATTTTATCTTATTAGGTCCTAGCAATATCTCAAGAGTCAGTATATTTTCTTTTTTAAATTTTACATTATAAGGTAAATTGTATATGATTTTATAAATTACACCACAGCTATAAACTAAGAATTTAAATAGCTGAAACCAATTCAAGTTAATAATAATTTTGAAATTAGTTTCAGCTGTTTCAGTAGTAAAGAATTTAGATAAATCTGAAACATTCAAACAAAATAGAAAATTTTTTTAAATGTTTCTGTTATAGATATCAGACATCAGTTTATTAGTTATTTTATGATTAGTCTATTTTCTTAAAAGTACTTCAAATTCAGGTTGATTATACATAACTTCTAACTGCATTTTTATAAATAATAGTGGATATATCTTTTTAGGATTCCAAACATAGTTTTTAACAGTTAAAATCTTTTTTAATATATCTGATTCGCAAAAATTATATTGATTTTTATTAGATATTTGGGAAATTCAATATAAATACACTTGAGTCTATCGAATTTGATATTTGTTGAATTATTTGGTATAATATTCGTGATATTGTATAACTTATCACATGTAGGACATACAATGTAAGTTTTTGATATTTTTTAATTTCTAATAACTTTCTAGCCATATAGATAGTTGACAGAAATTTATTATATTTATTTGATTTAATATTTTTTAAAAAAATATTAAAGAAGTCTATCAAAGAGCCAATTGCGATATCAGAATATATAAACCTTTCTTGAAATTTAAAGATCCAAAGAAGGATCTATAAATTATCATTCATGCTTGTAGAAATTTTTTGATTTGAATTATAGTTAAAGTTAAAAGAATCAAAAGCTATAAATAAATTATCAACATAGTCTTCTAAATCTAGATTAATATTATTTAAATCAATCGTTTGAAGGCCCTCATCATCATTTAAGTTATAAGAACCTTTTTTACTATTAGATAAATCACTAGATGGATTAACTTGTTGATCAGATTCTTCTTCAAAAGTGTTTGAAATAATAATATCATCGACTCTCTGAAATTGATTATATCTTTGGCTTTTCTGCTTCTTTGTAATACTAGATAGTATTGTAGTAAAGCATTTACTAAAATAATCATATTGGTAACCATTATCAGTTACTATCACTACAGTATTATCCTCATAAATATCACTGTCAAGAAGTTCAACAGAAATAGATCTATAATGATATTGATTTTTTAAATTAGAAAGATAGACTAGAGTTGGATTATTAGCTTTTTTGCTTTTTATTAAGTTAAGAATTGATTTTTGAAGTCAGTTCTTATTTATTTTATGTTTTTTCTTGTTCTTGCTTCAACAAGTTTGTTGTTATATTCTTTGCAATAGCATAGCACCTTTGGCTTTAATTTTTTAGATATTTTTTATTTTATTTTTTTTTTAAGATGAAAAAGAGAATTTAATTTATTTAAAAATTCAAACAATGAGATCAAATTAGAACAGGTTAAATAATAAAATAATAACAAATAAATTTCAATAATAACGATCGAGTATAATTCAAATTCAGCAAATACTTAGTGACTTGTAGATATAGATATACATATATTTGCATAGTACTTCTAAAAAAATATTTTCAGTTACGAATTATTACAAAAAAACTAACAAATTTACAATTATCCAGATATAGTAAACAAACCTAGTATTATTTAAAAAAAATATAGCTACTCATAATTAAAACTCTAGTAACAATGATAACATTAAAATTTTTTATCTATTTTATTTTTACTAAGAATAACAATAATAAATATTTTTAACAATATATACTGTATATAGCCAATTCATATCTGTGTTCCTTTTCATATTTTTATTAAGATAATTTTGTTATATATCGATATAGCATAGATCTATGAATAATTTCTTCTGTTTACTCATTTATTTTTTTAAATATTTTATAATAAATTAAATTTTAATAGATTGTTTATTACTTATATAATCACTTTACGACTAATTTCAGAATTCATACAATGAAAGTAACCATGTGATAAATTTATAATAGTGGCTACATTTTTTGGTGGACAATGCTAGGCTTGCTCGCGTATAGTATATAGTTAAGCATTTATACTATAATAAAGTAAATTTTAAAGTGAATGCATACTTTATATATATAATAAGCAGTCTAAGTTTTTTGAAAAAATCAATTTAATTTATAAAAATCTTATGATTCATATATGAGTCTAATTTACAAATTTACTACCATTAAATAGGATCTTGTATATAATCTTTTATGATAATATTATTATTAATTTGAAGAATATATTTTCAATTTAATACTACGGTCTTGTTAGTTTAATAGCTTGTTTATTTACTTGATAACCTGTTATTTCAAGTTTAATAGTTTTAAAAAAATTTGATGATGGGTTTTATCTTGGCAGCATCTACATGAAATTACTTCACTTTTAGTAGACACCTTAATTAGTCAATAATTATCATTCTATTCTCAATTTAGAAATAACACAAATGTATCTATAACAAAATAAAACAAAGCTATAAAAATTCTATTTTTGTTTTCTCTCATGATCATGTGGTATAATTTCAATACAATTAAAATTCATATCTGAATCAGGGCTTAAAATCCTATAATAATTTTCTGGCCTGCAACCAATTGATTGAAGTATTTTTCTTGATTCATTAAAATTAGTATAATATAAATCTTATTGTTTACTATATAGTTAATTAATTACTAATATACTAAAGATCAAGAATACTGTATATGTTCGAAAATAAGCTACCATTTTTGGCCAAAAAGTTACACAAAAATTTTGCGAATAGCTTATTTTTGGATAAAAGCGTTTTTGCCAATTGCGAAAAATTTTACTAAGTAAATCGATTATATATATTAAGTGAAAGTTGTTCAGGTTATAAAATT